GGTTATTAATCCCTTATCAAGTACATAATTTGCAAATATTTTTTCACATTTGGTGGGTTATCTTTCATTCTGTTGGTAGTATTCTTTGATGCACAAAAGTTTTAATATTGATGAAATCCAATCTACTTCATTATTGTCTGTGCTTTTCCTGTCATACCTAAGACATAATTGCTAATTCCAGTATCAGGAAACTTTCCTGTTTCCTTCTGAAAAAAAATTTTTTAATTACCTGTTATATTTAGATCTTTGGTCTATTTTTTGTTAACTTTTATGTTGGGTAAGGATGTAATTTCATTTGTTTCTGATTACCATTTGTTGAAAACACTGTCATTTTCCCACTAGTGAATTTGGAACTGAAAATCATTTTACTTTATATGTGAGGGTTTATTTCTGTGTTCTCCTTCAATTTTTGCTTTTTCACAATTGTATGGCTACTGGGGGGTCCCTACAGATTCCATATAAACTTTAAAATATTTATCTTTTATTTTTAAAAATGTCATTGGGATTTTGATGGGTACACTGAATCTATAGATTGTTTTTGACAATATGAACATCTTAGCAATATTAAGTCTTCCAAACCACAAACATGGGATGTCTTTCCACTTATTTATGTCTTCTTAAATTTTCTTCAACAATATTTTCTGATTTTGCAGTGCAAAAGTTTTACCTCCTTGGAAGTTTTTTTCCTCAGTATTTTCCTCTTTTTGGTGTCCTTGGAAATGAAAAGATGTTAATTTCAAATGTTCACTTTTGTTCTGTAGACACACAACTGATTTTTGCATATTGATTTTGAGTCTACAACTTTTCTGAATGCATATATTGATTCTAATTTTTATGGAAACTTATGAGATTGTCTAACTATGAGGTCATGTCATCTATAAAAATAGAAACTTTCACTTTTTCCTTCAGCTTAATAAGTTATTTCTTCTTTTCTGGTTAAGTGGCCTATTAGGGCTTCCAGCACTATGCTAATTAGAAGTGGTGAAAGTCAGTTTTCTTGGAATGAATCATCTCTTGAAGAAGGAAATCCAGCTCCGCCTTAGTCTATCCATTTTTCTGGAGGATGCTTTCCTCCAGAAAGCACAGAAGAATGAGGACAGTTCGGCTAGAATTCCAATGGGTCTCTACAAAAAAAACTTGAAAGATGGTTAATGTGATGAATTCCATCAGTGGACTTAGGAACACATTAGTTCTCTTCTTTTCCTCACTATACACTCAAATTCACTTTGCCTTCAATTACTACCCAAGGTGCTTTTATTGATAGAGTGAGCCAAAGTATCTTTCCTTCTCAGTCTGGAGTTGCTGCATGCTCATTTACATCACAGTTGTACGAAGTACCGATAGACACATGAGGAGGTCACCTAAGTTCCATACCTAATACTTCCCTGCCCAGCCATGTCACAACAGGTTTACCTCCTTCTACTGGTCAGGGTCAGTCATTCCCAACATTTGTTGACTCATCTTCTTGCTGTAGTTCCCTGGACAAAAGGAGGCCAAAGTGCCCAGATGGAAGCTGTAGTTTGTAGCACTTTACAACCTCTTCTGTGTTCCTCAGTGATAGTGCATCCCCTTTGGGAATCAGAATCTCTAACCCTGCAGTCCATGAGTTTTAGTGTCAGAAATAAAAGAGTCCCACAGAAGGCCATTGTGATTGTGATAGTGATAGGAGCCACTGGTTCATGGGCCCCTATTTTCCCCTACTGGAGACACTAGTACATTAAGATCTCCTTTCTAATGATATACGGTAGCATGAGGAATGGTGCTCCCATTTTCAACAAGTTTTATTTATAGGAAATACAATTCAAGAGGAAATACAAGAGGTCCATGGAGAATTACCTCCCAATATATCTCCAATCTCCTTGCCTCCTTTTAAAGTCCTGACCAGAGGACCAGTGCCCCTAAGTTTTATTGTATATATATATTACAGCTGTATATTTTACATTTGGGATACTTATTCTTCTACTTAAACTAGATGACTAGATAAACCTTTCAAAGCTCTCTGAGAGCATAAAGATGTTCCTCACCTCTGTCTTTAAAGTAACTCCTGCTAATCTCAAGGTTTTTATTTATTTTTGTATATTCAGAATTCTGCAAAAATCAATTGCAGAACATTTGTATTACCCAAAAAATACTCACTCCCCATTTCCCTGGTCTTTTCTGCACCCTGAATCTTAGGCAATTAGCAGTCTGTTTTTTTTATCTCTATAAATCTGTCTATGCATGCTATATATAAAGAAAGTTATTTATGTAGCTTTTAGTGCCAAGCTTCTTTCATTTTAGTATGTTTCCCTGTCACACTTAAATGGTTACTACTGCTTTCATAATATTTTTATTTCACTAAGAGTGAAATAAATACTAATTAAATATTTGTATATATACAAATATAAAGGCTAACATTTGGGATATATAAAAATTCCTGTAAATAGAATTGTAATGTAATGTGGACTTATATAACATAATAACACAAATCTTTGTTGTAAAAACTACCATGATCTTATTATACTTAATTTTGTGGACCAGGATTTTGGGCAGTCACAACAGGGAGCATTCATGTTGGCTCAAAAGATGGATGGAGATTGTTATATGGCTTCAAACAGGACATACTTATAGAGCAGGTCTCCTTTTTGGGTGTGTGACCTGTGTTGACTCAAAAATAAAAGGGTCCTGTGCTTACAAACCACAGGAAACCAGTCCTCTTGACTGGTTTAATTCTGCTGGTACCATCCTGAAGTTCTAAACCATTTTTTTTAAGGGACCCCATATTTTCATTTAGCACTATGCCTCCCAAATTACACAATAGCCTTTCACTTCTGTGTGTCAATTGGGTTCTTCTGTTTTCTATGTCAGCTATGGCTGAAATGTCAAACAGGGCTTCTGCACATATCTATTTTGTTATCTGTGTTGGAAAGAGTAAGCATTTCTCTTACTCTATGTGGCCTCTACGTAACTCGCTTGTCACTCCTTACAACATGGCAGCTGAGAAATAATAAGACTTCTCACATGGTGTCTTGCTTCCTTTTGAGTAACCTAAAAGCCAATGTGGGGAAACGTAAAGAGCCTTATAACCTAGCCTGGGAAATTACAGAACATCATTTCTATCCAAGGGAAGTCATTAAGGTTACACTATATTCAAAGGGTGGGAAATTAATCTCCTTTTCGCAATGCAAGGGGGAGCAAAGACTTTGGATAATGTTATTTTTAATCTAACACTGATTAATATTCACCTAAATTATTCATTTTCAGAACTCAAACTAACATTACTATGGAAAGAATGTAGAAAGACCAGTATAATTTCAATTTATAAATTCAAAGTAAGGTTATGAAGTATGGCAATGCATTTGCAAGTCAGATTTTAATGTTTTCTTTAAAATATAAAAGACTAAGGCTAAATTCCAAGTTGAAGATTTTAAAGAATGGAGGGTGACAATCTTCCTCTTTCTGTCTACTAGAGGTAGTTGTAAACAGAAAGGAAAGAGGTAAGTGAAATGTCAGTTTTCCTCATCTATGCTCTTAGACTTGGAAAAGATTCATTTGATGTGTGAGGCAGTGTTAAAGACAGAGGATTCCTTTGTCCAGCCTTGTTACACTTCCCATTTAAGACTCTAAGAAGAGGTTGCCTTAAAGGGTCGCTTGACTTAAGACAGAAAAAAAAACCAGAACAATCTTGGGGCCTGGTATAGTTAGACAGAAGGGGACTTTTAGTTACTCTTGGGTGCTGTGTGCGTCTACATGTATAGAAAACTGACTGAACTGCTATCTTTTATAAACCAAGACTGAACATATTTGAGAGAACTAAATTATTAGCTTGGGATATCAGATGAAATTTTTATCCTATACAGACCCAACTTCAAGGTCAACTAGGTGTCATATCCTCACTGGTGACAGAAAGTTTTTTTTTTTCCCTTAAGATTTATTTTTATTTATTTATGCATACAAGAACTGCGGTGTAGACCAGACATGTGGAGCACGTGAAAGGATTCACCAGAGACAGAGTGGGGCACAGAACGGACAGATCCACTAAAATACACTGCTGAGGGGAGCAGCAGCTGAGACATGAGACCTGCTGTGCCACCTCCCTGGCCGGGGATCTAACTCATGCTGCAGTGGCTCATGTGACCTTTTAAATCATATGCACATTTTGCAGATTCACCAGAGACAGAGTGGGGAGTAGAACAGATGGATCTACTGAAAGATACTGGTGAGACAGAAGAGGTCTACTGCCCCCTGTGGGTCAGCTCCCTGCCCTCCTTGGGTCAAACTCCCTTGTTTGAACCCTGCTGCAGTGGTTGCAGATAGCTTCATACTGCTAAGATTTAACCCCTTTGAGCCACCAGGGAAGCCTTTTTTTTTTTTTTTTAATTACAACTCATTCAGAAGATACTGTTGGTTTACAGTGTGCAAGGAGTCCCAGGGCAAGTTAGTTAAATAAGCAGCTTCAGGGACAGTGCAGACAGGGACTTCAGGAGAGTTAAGAGAGGCCTCTGACATCAGGGCAGAGAAATTCATGAGAGCTAATTAAGGTAGAGTATTTTAAGACAGTAAATTTTAAGGCTAAAATATGAGTTAATTGGGACAGTAAATTTTAGGAAACCTTGGACAGGGGAGGTAAAAAGATAAACTCTAAAGTGGGAAAATGCACACATCTGCCTGGAGAAGTGAAAGAGCCAATTACAAATAGGGTGATGAGATTTTAGAGTAGAGGGGATGAAAAAGGGCTTTAATATCCGCTAGAAATGGGCCCCTAATAGCATCTTTTGCCCCTCCTTGGCAATACTGCCTTAGAGTCTTTGCTTCTTTTTCCTCTTGACTAAACCTCTTCTTACTTTGCTTAAATAAAGTTTGCTTCTCTCTGCTTACTTATCTAAAGAGTCTGTGAATTCCTTTTTTGGCTTCGTGGGACAGAACGTGTTGTGGCTCAAGGGTTAAAATAACAACCCACACCGGCTTCACAAACAACAGAAAAGTGTCTGGTTTTCCATTCTAGTACGTTACTTACGTATTTCAGCAAAATTTATTCTCCTGTGACTTGTGAGTACTGTTGCATATGATCTATCATTGCCCTGGTACCAGACAGACTTGACCTACAGCGCGGATGAGTTTACTGTAGACGAGAGGCTCAAGGTGAAGAAATGTGCTGAGCTTGGCACAGAGATTGATAAACTGGCGGCGCCCCCGCTGGTAAATCGCCAAGTGGATAATGAGTGACGAAGCAGCAGTGATTGGTGTTCATTACAACCAAACCCTCAGGACGCAGTCTTTCGGGACGTCGCGAGACGCAGACACACAACACGCTAAGCCAGGAGGGGGAGACCCGGGGCTCCCACTTTGGCTTGGGGCACGAGCAGCGGCACAGGAACGAGTCACCGGCGGCCGGGGGCAAGGAGAACGTCACTTCCGGCCGCCCAGGCCGAGTCCTACAGCGTGATGACAGCCAGCGCGGAGTCCCGGGCTCACAGGCCCGGAGTCGGGGTGGGAGTGGTGGTGACGAGCCGCGAGCATCCTCGCTGCGTTCTCCTCGGGAAGAGAAAGGGATCGGTCGGGGCCGGTACTTTCCAACTACCAGGCGGGCATCTGGAGTTTGGGTGAGTAGCAGCCCGGGTGATCTCCAGGTGGGCGGAGCGCGCGTGGTAGTGACGCGTTCACGCTTGCGTGCGCGCTGACGCTGCTTCCGGAGCGCGCGCCGGGCTGGGCGGTGCTCGTCGTACTCGCGTGTTTGGTTTTGGCGTTTCCTTAACAGTGCCTGCTTGGCCTTGGTTCTTTTGAGTTTTAGTTCTTAGTGCTTGCATTTCAGACATGGAAAGTGGTGCAGCTTTGTCAGCTAATGGCATTTGCACAGCTTCTCTGATTTTAGCTTATATAGATCAGTGTTACGCCCCGCTATAGTGACGCAGATGGGCTAGTGAAATGTTCTCTAGGTCTGATTTCTTCATCTATAAAAGGGAGGTGTGTGGTGAAGTGCTTTGGCATTCTGTGATTTGATGATGTATAGACCAACAAGGAGTTCCACACAAGGGTGAAAAGGACTTGGGCCATCCCTTAACATACCACCCTGCATTTCTTTCAGTTGGCTTCCTGTCAACCTCTTGTGTTTGCTTGAGCCACAGGAATGATGAAAGCATTGCTACCCTTTTGCGTGGTTCAGCAATGCTCGGCTGTTGCATTCCAATTTCCCAAAGCAGGAATAAACATCACTCAGTATTTACATGTACCTCTAAATACTGAGGCGCACGTTTATGGCAGAGTCCTTTTGTTCCTACCACTCTTGCTCATGCATTGGAGTAGTCCTGTGTGTTTCCTCAATTTAGTAGCTTAGCAGGGAAGTAACCACCCATGTCCACACTGACTAAATATTTGTGGAATGACCTTCACTTTTGTTGACAGACACAAATAAAAAACACCTGTTTTCAGCTTCTCACCTCTTCAAACTAGTGCTAAATTGACTGAATGTTAACTTTTTTGTTCAATATGATGTCCTTTTGGTCTTCAAATAACTAGATGGGAATTATACAGAACCAGAGTAAGAAAACACAACTGAATGTCGCCTCCCCAGACATTCAGTCTTAAAGACATGGGTAGGGAGAAGGTCAAAAGACCTGTTATGCCTTCCTTAGCAAATCTTTGGGGCCACATGACATCTGTTTGCTTTTTGCTGTACTCCAGAATTTAGAGGTGTTTATTGCCCATTGTCCTCAATTTTGAGACATTAACTAAAATTCTGAGATTATAGGAAAAACATAATCCACTTTTTGATATGCTTACAATGACCTCATGAGAAAGTAGCATTACTTCTTTCTGCTTGTCCAAGATAGAGCATGATGAACTTCAAACTCAAACCTAGGTCTAATTGACACCACATATTGCTTTTACCTAATATATTAAACTGCTTCCAGGTTGCATGGGAACTAGTGCTAAATTGACTGTTAACTTTTTTGTTCAATATGATATCCTTTTGGTTTTCAAATGACTAGATGGGGATTGTACAGATTATCAAAGCAGTGCTGTGGATTTATAGTTTTACTGCATGAACTAACTACAGTTCTTTTGCTTTACATTAGAAATTTCTAGCCAAGAATTTCATGGAAAAAAACACATAAATAGAATTGAATACAATGGTATATTTCTGTTTTCTAGTGAAAGCTGGGAAGAATGTGCTCAAAGAGAAACCTTAGAAGAAGCAGCTCTTCATCTGAAAAATGTTCGCTTTGCCTCAGTTGTGAATTCTTTTGTTGAAGAAGAGAATTATCATTATGTCACTATATTAATGAAAGGAGAGGTTGACATGACACATGATCCAGAACCAAAGAATGTAGAACCTGAAAAAAATGAAAGTAAGAGACCTATACATAATAACGCATTTTCTTTGAGGTAAACCTGTCTTCTGAAGGAGTACTACATTAAGTTGCCATATGAAGAAACTAGATAGGTAAATATACTTTAACCCTGGAGATAAAGTACATAACAGGGAGAATGGACTGTGGATCCAGACTCCTTGTGTTTTTTTTTTTTTTTAAGATTTATGTACACATACAGAACTGGGGTACAGGCCAGAGGTGCAGGCATGGTGAGAGGATTCACCAGAGACAGAATGGGGAGCAGAACAGGCAGATCAACGAAGTACACTGCTGAAGGGAGCAGCAAGTGGGTCAGGAGAGGTCTGCTGGCCATGTGGATCACCTCCAGGGCAGGGGCTCGAACTTGCACTGAAGTGGCTATGGCCAGCTTGCTGTGTTCTAACCCATTGTGCCACCAGGAGGGCCCTCAGCCAGATATTTAAGTGAAAACTGAGTAACTTTAGATCTGAGCTTTACCACTTGTGTCTCTTGTGAACTTGGCTTCATGTTCAAATAACAGCATGGTTTAAATGACAACTATTTTTTTTCTTAACATGTTCATTCTTTTAATATTTATTCATATATGCATACAAGAACTGGGATTCAGGCCAGAGGTGCAGGGGGTGAGAGGATTCACCAGAGACAGAGTGGGAAGTAGAATAGGCAGATTGACTGAAATAAATACATTGCAGAGGGAAGCAGTGTGAGAGACTTGAGAGGACTGCAGCGCCATGTGGGTCACCTCCCTGGCCTGGGATGGAACTCATGCTGTAGTGGCTGCGGATAGCTTCATAGTGCTGTGCTTTAACCTCTGGCGCCACCAGGGAGGGCTTTTAACATCTTCATCCTAAATGCAGTTATGTTTATATACATAATACACATCACTGTCACATTTATTACTGTTGTTTCATTAGTAAGTAATTTTTAAATTTTTTAAGGTATAAATTAACTTGCCAAAATAAGTTTTTTTTTCTTTCAACTAAATGAATTGATTTGGTATCTCTCTTTTCTAGGTTGGGAGTGGGTTCCTTGGGAAGCATTTCCTCCACTGGACCAGCTCTTTTGGGCACTACGGTGTTTAAAGGAACAAGGCTATGATCCATTTAAAGAAGATTTAGATCACCTGGTAGGATACAAAGGCAATCATCTCCAGGTGAACAAGAAGAGTCCCTGATTTTTTTTTAAGACAAAATAAGATCTGGTTTGAGAATGAAAAATATCTATATTTCAGAGCTCCATTTTATTCAAAAAGTTCCATATTGTCAATTTTATTTACATTTCCTAATATTCTCACCACCATTTCAACTAGTACTTGTAAAGAGGTTTATGTCATGACTGTTTCAGACACCAAAAAATGTGATAATTGGTGATCCTGTAGTTAATCTTCTTTTCACATTTCTTTGATACTTACTGTGCAGTGTCAATGCCAGATACATGGAGAAAGTGCAATTCAGTTTACCTCTGTGTTTCAGTTAAAACAGTTCCTAATTCAGATGCTAACACAGTATGCCTATTGTACCATTGTGTTTGTTGACTGTCCTGTTTTGTTTTTAAAATGTTTAGTAATATACTGGGGTAGTCTTTTAAGCAGAACAAACAGGGCAGATCATTAGGGTTTATTTCCATTTCCAGGTTTCTATTTAAGAATAGAAATCAGTGTCCCTTCCTGGTGGCCCAACCGTGTTAGGATGCAGCACTGCAAGCTGGCTGTAGCTACTTCAGTGCTCTGATCCTCCATCCAGAAGGTGATCCACAAGGGTAGCAGAGCTCTCCTGACCCCTCAGCAGTGTACTGGTTAATCTGCCTATTGTGCTATCCACTGTCTCTGGTGAAGCCTCTCACCGCCCCTGCACCTCTGGCTTGTACCCCAGTTCTGTATGAATAAATAAATAAATCTTAAAAAAAAAATCAATTCCTCTTATAAGTGAAACCATTCAAGAACACCAAATGGTGGGGGGAGGGGGAAGGCATTGGGAGTCTATTGTTATTACAATACAAAACACAACACAACAAAACAAACAGTTACAAAGCAGAGATCCTTCAGGGGAGAGGGCAAAGAGGGATCAGAAAGAGGGAGGAATGTCGGGGGCTATGGTGATGACTGGTTAGGGAAGAAGTAAACACTATAAAATGAACAATAATATTAGATGGATAGATAAAAATAAATAAATCTTTAACAAAATTTTTAAGAAACTAGAAATCAAAACAAATTTTATCAAACCATCTAGGATTTGTATCTAATCATTAGCAGACCATGTAATTTTGGATGTTTCAATCTTTGTGAGATCCAGCATCCTTGTATTTAAAATGAGACAAGATGCGGACAGTGTGAAACCACTGGGGAAGTCCTTGAGACCTTTTCAGGGATATTTAAGGTCAAAGCTATTTTTGTAAAACTGAGGTATCATTTTCCTTTTTTACTGTCTTTCATGAATGTACAAAGGAGTTTTCTAGAGGTTACATGATATTGACATGGTAACAGACTGATTACAAAGCAGACATGAGAATTCAGCTCTTTTATTAGACATTAAAGAAATTTTCAAAAATGTAAAGTACCATCATGTCACTTTTGTTTTTGAAAAAGTTAACTTTTCTTAAGTTATTTTTGTTAACATATAATGGTTTTTTATTATTTGCAAATAATAAAGTTTTAAAATTTTCTGTTTTAATTCTTTTTTTTTTTTTAAAGATTTATTTATTATGCATACAAGAGCTAGGGTGCAGGCCAGAGATGATGGGAGTGAGATGATTCACCAGGGATAGAGTGGGGTGGCAAATTGACTGAAATACATTGCTGAGGGAGTAGCTGATGATACTACAGAGGTCTCTTGTGCCATGTGGGTTATCCTCCTGGCCAGTGATCAAACTTGTGCTGCAGATAGCTTCATAGTGCTGAGACTTAATCCTTGCACCACCAGGGAGGCCCTCAGTTTTAATTCCTTTTTTTTTTT